AAAGAAAGAAAGAAAGAAAGAAAGAAAGAAAGAAAGAAAGAAAGAAAGAAAGAAAGAAAGAAGAAAGAAAAAGAGAGATGAAAGAAAAAAGAAAAAAGGGACAGAGAGACAAAAGGAAGGAAAGAGAGAGAAGGAGAAAACACGTGGCCGGCAAGCCACTCCCACAAAGGAGGCCACACCCACAGAGTAGGTTCCAAATTTTTTTGAAACCCACCACTGATCTACAGCCACATCCTCCTTCCTCTGGAAATGCTTCCTTTGAGGAACTAAACTGTACACATTCCCAGCTTCTCTCTATAAGCAAAACCAGCACAAAATAAATGTATAAGCAGCGATCAGGAAGCCATGGATGAATGCAGGCTGTTATAGGTCTACACCACACTGTGGTGTGGAAGTAAAATTGAAGGAGATGGATGTATTTAGTCTGCCTGAAAAGGCACCATAGTAACCATGGCCATTAAACACTTTCTGCCACCCCCCAATATCACAAGTGCCAAATTTTCCAGGTGAATCTATGCGATCCCAATGAACAGCCTGATGAACATATATGTTGCCCTTTATATATACTGCAAGACACGTGTTGGCTTTCTGGCTTACCGGGTGTCCCTACCAATCACAACGAAGGCCTTGTTCTGAAGATCTACCGCCTCCTTCTGGCAGATCTCAGTCAGGACACAATGTAACTGAGGTTCCTCTGCATTTGCCAAGAACGTGGCATGGTCTTCCCAGGTAGGGGCCAACATCTCCCCAGAAGGATCAATCAGCTTCACGCCATTGTCTTCCTGGAGGAAGACAGAAAATGTTCATTATCAAAGTTGATGGCATGTTTAGAAAAAAAATGTAGTTTCTCTGAAGCAAAGAAATATATTTAAAATGTGTAAAGTTTCCAATCCGAAGTGTTTGGAACTCTAAACGCTTGCTTCAAGCTCAAAACACAATGGACTGCTTTGACTTTAAAACAGGTCATGCCTGAAAGCTTTGCACTCCTTTAAAAGATAGAGTGTTGTAAATTGCCCAAGGAAAATCATTTTGATATAACACCGTTATAATAAATAAATAAGTAAAAATTATTGAATCAATCATACCAAAAGTTATAAGTCATTTTTCAAAAAGAATGTCAAAAAAGGTAAAATGATTTAATCTCACTGAAAAGTTAGAGGTGGCACTCCTATTCCTGCTTATTGCAAAAAGCACCACCTAACTTAGTGAGATTTATTTCAAAGTAAACATGCATATGTTTGTGCTGTAAATAATTGAACAAAGAAGGCAGAGCACATTATGAAAAGGTTCCAGGAAGTGCAAGTTATATCCCGTCAATGAATCAATCAGATGTAACACATAATTTACTTGTATTTGTACTTGACGCCTCTTCACCCATCGTGGGTATAGGCGATTTCCATGGAAATTTGACGCCACTGTTTTCGGTCCTGGGCTAGGGTTGTCAGGTGGTGCAGCCAGTCGCTATTAAATACTTTTAGCGAGAAGGGCCTGCTTCCCTGTTTGTAGCAATGTTTG